CAAAGAAGAATAACATAAGACTGATAGGAATACATGAAGTAGCAGAAGAAAATACAAATGACTTAAAAAAGCTGTTCACAGAATCAATGACAGAAAACTTCCCAAACAGAGGGGAAGAATTTGACATACAGATAACTGAAGAATATAGGACTCCAACTAGGCACGATTTAAAAAATCTACACCTAGACATATAATAATCAAGATCCCAGAAACCCAACAGAAGAACAAAATACTACAAGCAGTAAGAGAAAAGAAACAAATCACATGCAAAGGAAAGCCCATCAGAATCACAGCAGACTTTTCAACACAAACCCTTAGGGCAAGGAGAGCCTGGAGTGAGCTATTTCGAGTCTGAAAAGAAAACAACCTCCAACCTAGACTGATGTATCCTGCAAAACTCTCTTTCAAAATGGATGGGGAAATAAGATATTCCGTAACAAAGAACACCTGAGAAACTACATGAATACCAAGCCAGCACTACAAAGAATTCTAAACAAGGTCCTAGAAAAAGACAATGAAGGCAACAACACTATGAGGCCCAACAGAGCAAATCAAGTAGGCAAGACAAGAAACTAAAAGGAGAAGGTGAAAAAGTAAAAAGAGTCAACAAAAGGCCAATAACATGACAATAATAAGTCAGAACATATCAATTATAACCATCAATGTCAATGGCCTCAACTCACCAATCAAGAGAAATAGACTGGCAAAATGGAATAAGAAGCAAAATCCAACAATATGTTGTATACAAGAAACACACCTAGTGCAAAAAGAAGCCCATAGACTGAAAGTGAAAGGATGGAAAATAATTCCCCATGTGACAGGAGTCCAGAAAAAAGCAGGGGGTAGCAATCTTATTCACAGACAAAGTAATTTCAAACCAAAACTGATTAAAAGAGACAAAGAAGGCCACTACATCCTTGTAAAGGGAATAATTTAAGAGGAAGAAATGACAATCACAAACATATGTGCACCAAATATTAATGCCCCTAACTATATAAAAGAAATATTAAAAAACATGAAAAACCAAATAAGCACTAGTACAATTGTAGTGAGGGATCTAAATACCCCACTTTCACAAATAGACAGATCATCTAGGCAAAAAAATCAACAATGAAATACTAGAACTGAACCAAGCTTTTGAAAGCATGGACTTAATAGACATCTATAGAGTATTCCACACCACAAAAATCAAAATATACATTCTTTTTGGCTGCACATGCATCATTCTCTGAGATAGATCACATACTAGCTCAAAGAACAGGTTTGAATGTCACAGAGGAAATTAAAGAAAAAATTAGACAGCTTTTACAAATAAATAAAAGGGCCAATACCACATACAGGAATCTATGGGACACAATGAAAGCAGTTCTACGTGGAAAATTCATAGTACTGAATGCCCACAGTAGGAAAACAGAATGAGCTCAAATAAACAACCTAATGATGAATCTTAGACTCCTAGAAAAACAAGAGCAAGAAAAACCCAAAGCTTGAACAAGAGAGGAAATTGTAAAGATTAGAGCAGAAATCAGTGCAATTGAAACTAAGAAAATGATACAAAAATAAATGAATCAAAGAGTTGGTTTTTGAAAGAATAAATAAAATCGATAAACTCTTAGCTCACCTATGTTTATAGCAGCACAGTTTGTAATAGCTAAAACTTGGAAACAGCTGATTTGCCCTTCAGTTGGAAACTGGATTAAGAAGATGTGGTCGGGCTGGGGATTTAGCTCAGTGGTTTGGTGGCCTACTTGCAAGCACAAAGACCTGAGTTCAATCCCTGGTACCAAAAAAAAAAAAAAGAAGATGTGGTTTTTCTATAAAATGAAATACTACTTAGCCATAAAGAATGAGAAATTAGAGTCATTCATAGGTAAATGGATACATTTTTGAGGATATACTCCTAAGTGAAATAGATAAGTCACATGTGGAAATACCGAATAGTTTCTCTGGTGTGAAAAACCATATAGTACACAAGATCCTAATGAGATAATTAACAATGTGAAATAGGAAGAAAAAGGCTAAAGGTGTAGGGAAAGTGGTAAGGGTAGGGGAAAGGTAATAAAGGCAAAGAAAAAAGATGAGAAAATGAAAAAATGGAAATAAAGTGTTTGTAAATGGGGAGGGGAGGAGGGAGTGAAGGGAGGGCAGGGACAAGGGGAAAAAATGAGAACCAAGACCTGTCATGTAAAGGTATAAGATCCCAGTAATGAATGTAACTGTACTGTATACCTAAAATGTACCAATAAACTAAAAGAAATAATAATAAAAAAGACTAATTTAAGTACTGAAGTATTGTGACCTTCTGCAACCAGTAAATGAAGATCACCAATCTTGCTTGAAAGAATAAAACAAAAAACAGAAACACTTAAACAGATAAAAATAGATAAAAGTCTTGCAGCCATAGGCAAGAACTTTCTGAACAGAACCCCAATTGCACAAGAAACAATGTCAAGAATCAACAAATGCGTTCATACCAAATTTAAAAGTTTCTGAACAATGAAGGAATCAGAAGAGCAAAGAGACAACCTTTTGACAACTATTATTCAGAGGGCTAATATCTAGAATATATAAAGAACTCAAAAATTAGATCCCCAAAATGAAAGACCCAGTGAAAACAACAGGCAACTGAAGTGAATAGACATGTTCAGAAGAAGCAGTACCAATAAATACATGAAAAAATGTGCAATATCCCCTTAGGCAAAGTCAAATTAAAATAATAGTAAGATTCCAACAAGCCCAAGAAAGAATGGCCATCATCAAGAAATCAAATACAGTAATACCTCAGTTCCTAAATGCTTCTATTCCCAAACATTTCAGTTCATGAACAGAAGTGTTCAGCAAGATTTTGCTTCTGTTCGTGAACTTTGGATCAAGTGATGAAGAACACAAAAACAGCCATCTTCCCCACTCTATCACATTGTTGCAGATTCCTCTAGTTGAGATCTTGGTTGCAGACAGACCTTTACACACTTTATGTGAAGCTTTTTTTTGGGGGGGTGCTTTTTAGCAATACAGTACTGTACAATATTATTCATTTCAGCATGGCTCCAGAGAAGATGCAGAAGAGCAAGCGTGGCAGTAAAAAGAAAGTGAAGAATGGTGATGAAAATGACAAGAACATACACAGCAACGATGAAGATAATGAGAAAGTGCAGTGGAAGAATGGTAAGAAGTTTTTGAAGAAAATAACATCAAATTGAAGAAAGAAATCATAGAAAAGCATGAGCCAAGTATTCATGTGATTGACCTGGTCTCAAAGTACAAGATGGAGAAATTGATGGTCTTTATTTTGAACAATAAAGGTGCCATCAAAGGAGATGACATAACAATTAGAGTAATGATTTTAACTGGGCCAAGTACACAAGTGCTGTAAGAAGTGGACTAATGTTTCTTAGTATGGTTGAATAAGAAACAGCCGGCAGGTGATACCATTAACAAAGCTAAGATCATGAAAAAGCCAAGAAATTGCCTAGGGATTCACTACAAGAAACCCCTCTGCAAAGGCAACAAGTAATGAATATAAAGCCAGTAGGGGATGGTTTGATAAATTCCACAAGAGAAGGGTCATCCCATAGTGTGATAAGATATGGTGAAGCTGCCCATTCTGACAGGGCCACTGAGAAGGCTACAAGAAAGAATTCATGGAATTCATAAAATCAGAAGGCTATCTTGCCCAATAAAACTCTTTTGGAAGAAGATGCTCAACAGAACCTGTATCATATCTGTCTTTCTTTGACCAACATAATTTACACTGTCATGCTGGCCTTTCCTTTTGGCGGGGAGATGGTATAATTTCAAGAAAATGTCTACCTACTAAACATAATGGGGATGATGTTGATGATGATTATCCTGGTTGATGTTTCACTATCCTATATTTTTCAATTATTTCATCTATTAGACCTAATCTAAATTGTAAATGACTTTTTGAACCCCCTGTTTTGAATAAATAATAAATGAGTTCTGTATCATTTGGTCCAGAAGGAGCATACATATTTTATAATAATTTTTCCTAACTTTTTGATTATAGGATAGATTGTTAGATGTTGGTCAACACCATGCAGAGAAGTATTATAATCATTGATCACTATTGGAATTTTTTTAGTTTATTTCTTCTTTCAAGTTCTATTATTTCTGTATTATGAATAATTGACCATAAAGAGATGTGGTTTTTGTCTTTACATTTCAAAACAGACTTTTCCTCTCTGATACGCTGTTTTCTCCCTTTTTTTTCTGCAGATCTTTTAGCACTTCCTTTGTATTCAGTCTCAGTGTGCCAAATGTGTTCATTTTGTGTTGTAAACGAATATCACTGAGCTCTGGAGAAGTATAAAAGTTATATCTAAAGTACTTACAGTAAGATTAGATTGTAGCACAAAATTATAGTTTATTTTTCAGAAATAAAGTAAATACACAATAGTAAAAGAAAATAACCAGAGCTTATTATTAGATTCCATGAGAAGCAAACATCAAAGGTAGATACAATGTTCTTTAAATTTAAAAGTATGCAAAAAAACAGTCTGATGGGGACCACCTTGAGTGAACTACAAATTCATAAACTATCTTTTCCTATTAAAAGTCTAAGTCTTCCTATCAGCCCACAGTGGCTTGCCTGATGAGCCAGCAGCAGCCTCGCTACAGCGGAGGTCTGGGTGACCCATGACACTGTGACAACTTGGAGGGCAAGACAGTGTTGCAGCTACTGGAAACGAGACTCATATGCAAAGCTTCTATAGAAGCAAAAACTAGTTTATGGGAAGAAAACAAATTTCCCCCTTCATTAAGGATCTGTTCCTGCTAGAACATCTCGTTCCTATGTTGCTAGGACCTGTGCTCTTCACTCCACTGTTTCCTACACCACCCGTTACCCCTGAAAGAAGTCGTGTGTTCCATAAATAGTGACAGGCTCCAGGAGACAGCATCTTAACCTCATAAGAGCTTTGACCACCCCAGGCCTCTTTTACAAAGTAAAGATCTTGTCTTTTGTTGTTCGATCACCGTACCTTGGGCAAGTGGATGGAAGTCTAATCAGCCTCCAATAATAGTCTATAAAAAACAAATAAACAGAGTTGTATGAGTGTATCTCATGCAAACAAGAATCAACTGGTTGAAATGCTACCTGCCCGAGCAATGCTTGTAATTGAATGTTATGGGAAAATTGGATTCAGTTAATGAACAAAATTGGTTTGCAACCACATTTATAGAGGGCCAGAACAGATTCACTTTATTTACATTGAACCTTATGGGGAAATCTGATTCAGTTTGCAAACAATGTGAAACCACTATGGAAATCAGTGTGAAGATTTCTCAAAAAAAAAACCAAAATTGGAAATTCCATTTGACTCAGCTATTCCCTTTCTTGGTATCTTCTTGAAAGTGTTAAAAACATCACAATACATTGATACATGCATACCATTATTTATAGCAGAACAACTCACAATACCTAAGTCCTGGAAGCAGCCTATATATCCATCAACAGATGAATGGATAAGGAAAATTGGTATTTTTATACAATGAGTGCTACTCTGCCATAAAGAAATTTGAGTCATTTATAGGAAAGTGAATGCAACTTGGGATCAAAATGTTAATGAAATAAATCAGATGCACAAATGTAACTATCACATAGTTGCCAGAGACTCCTACAGTAAGTCTCTAGTCCCCACCTGCCCAATGTGCAATGCAGGCCTGAGAAAAAAATACACTCCAGCCACGCCCTTTCCTGCCTGCCCTCCCATCCAAAACAGGAAGGAGAGCCATGCCTTCTCCCACCTGGAGCCTCCATCCTCCAGCATCAGGAAAGTAGCCACACGGGCACCCCTGAACCCCCCATAACTCCCCTTACCTCCCCCCAACCACTCTCAGACCTCCTGATTGTGCCAGTCTTTGGACCCACTCTGCAGAGGCAGAGGTGGTCATAAAGGGTATTTTTCTGAGTTCCCAACTTTGAACATATTTAAAGAAAGGGCATGGGAAACCTGTAGTAGAATGGTGTGGAGTTCCACCAATCAGAAGGTTGGGGAACTCAATCTGGGCCTTGCAGTCTGTGTCATGGGGTTCAGCCATCAGCTAACTGAGATCGGGGTTCTTGCATCCTAGCTCTATCTGAGCCATTAAATGGTAAATATACTATATTGAAAAGTTTGTTCACTGCAGACATGTTCTGGCCTGCTTCTTGATTTCAATTTAATTCAAATGGTTTAAGGGTGATAGACTAGTGACTACCATGGGTGGTCAGTTGCCAAGTTGTGCTTGATCTTAATGTGTTGCTGATTATATCAGTTGGGATAAAGCATTGCAGATGATTTGATGAGCTGTTTCTCTGATGTTATGAAGATGAGAATGTCTGTGGGTCATTAGAGACACAGAAGCTAGGGAACAACTATATCAGGAAGATTTGGGTGATAATCCAGAGATTAAACCAAGGACAGCCGGACAACAAAAGTAAAAATGAGAAATCACTTAAGCAAGACACAAAGACAGATTTCCAGTTAACCAATAGCAAACAGTAGGGCAAAGGAGGATGAAAAGGCTGATAGTGAACCACCAGGACATCATGAACTCAAAGCACAGGAAGTAACAAAACAGATCAATCAGGCTCTAGAAAAATTCAAAACAGAAATAATTTCAGAGATAACCATAGAGATAGTGAGCAAAATGGAAGTCGTGATTCGAGACTCTAGAGCACAAACTGACAAAAAAATAGATCAATAGCATTCATTTAAGTTCATGTTACTTGGAGGAATGAATGGCATATAATACAAACAATCAACCTCTTAGGTATATGAAGAAGATGGGAAGTTTTGCTTGGTCACATTCCTGATGGTGGCTACCATATCCCTTAGAAAAGAGCATACCAGATCTTTCTTGAGGACAAAGTGAGAATTAACAAGCTGGGGCAACTGGAAAAGCAAATAATATCCAAGAGGATGCCAGTTTACCACTGGGAAATGGTATAGTGTATGTGGGATGAGGTAGGTGTGGTTTCAAAGTTGGGATATCCTAGATGTTTCTTAAAATTTATTAAATTTGCATTTGTAATTTACAAACCTCTCACAGTATCCCTCTCACGACTATGAAAAGACTATTATGGAATATGCAGTGTTGTGTTTATACTACATGATCTCTTTTGTCAAAGCACACAGGAAGATAGTTTCCCAGCATTTGTAGTAAGTGGGCATCAAGACTGAGATGGGAACAGTAGCATGGGAGCAGAGGCAGATATGGAACATATCTTTGGCAGAAACAATGGATGCCACCTTTTAAGAAGGCAAAATAAATAAGATGGATATCATATGGCTAGATGATGCATGGAGAGCCACTTAACCCACAGCAGAAAGTTTGCTAGCGAGAAACAAACCTTTTGTGTAAAATTTGGGGGATTTCAAGATTTATATATTACCACAGTGTAACCTATCCCATCATACCAGATTATCACACATGCCATCCACCTTCTACCTCCTTATCACAACTCAGGTTTTTATTAAAAACCTTAGCCTCTTTTAAGAGATATTTGCATTTCAATGACATATTCATGAGAAGTAAACTAATATCAAACTCTAAAATGAATGAACCTCTGATTTTAAAAAAATCCTTGAATACTGTAATGCAGAGCAAGAGAAAATTCCAGAAAAAGAAAAAGAAGAAGAAGAGGAGGAGGAGGAGGAGGAGGAAGAAAGACAGAAAAGAGGAAGGGAAATTCATTTACAGAAAGATAATTTGTGAGAGCTCTGCAGCCATATCATTTACTCAAGCATTATTTAGGTTGTCCTTTTTAAAGTCATATTTATTCTCCATGTTTCTATATCTGTTTTCTCTTTGTAAAGTGCTATTTTACCAGGGAAGAATAGAAGAAGAAAAATACCTTTTTTGTCCGAACATTTCTGGCAGTTGTAATTCCATCAAAAGAAGGATTATAAAGTGATTTATTCAAACAGGCACATGCACTAAGTAACTTTGCTTCTTAAAATAGCTCACATTCATATAATTCAGATGATATGCATTGTGCAAGTTTGGTATTATGTTCAGAGTCCTTTGTGTGTCTGTCTATGACATACGAGTTCTGACAAACAGAATTTTCAGACATGAGGTTCCACAGCCTTCTGAATTACGTTCTCCATAGTTCCATTCTTTGCATTCATCCAATCCCGAGTCTGTTTATTTAATCTTAATGGACTGTAAGAGACATCGACTGTGAAAGCATCACATTTTAGGAAGGGTTTGGGTTTTGATGTGAGGCCTTGGTTTAAATATCTTTTTTCTCCCTGTCATTTACTAAGCATCTAAATTTTGTGGAGTTAATCTAAAGAGTTTTCATTCTCTCATACAGCAAAATAAGGAAGAGAATATCTATCCCACAAGGATATCACTTACAAAGGGAACAGCAGAGTGCATGGTATATGAAAGTAATAATTATACATGATAACCCATTTGGGAATATTTTCTTCCTAATCTCTAATTAACATGTAAAACAGTGCACATATTTTAAGATTTTTGTTTGTTTGTTTTTGAGACAGAGACTCACTATGTAGTTGAGACTGATCTGGAACTCACTATGTAGCCCAGGCTGGCCTTGAACTCACAGTGATCCTCCTGCCTAAGCCTCCTGAGTACTGGGATTACAGGCGTGTGCCACCACGCCCAGCTTATATTTTAAGATTTTGACAATTCCATATATCCATGAAACCACCACCAGAAACATGATTTAGAATATTTCCATTATTTTAAAAAAATTTCTTCAAATTCCTTTCTAGTCAGTTCCATCACTCCTTCCTGCCACCCTCACTGCTTAAACAACCACTTTCTAATTTCTACCAAACATTGCCTGGTTTTTGGCAAATTGAACCACAGAGTACATGTGTTTCTGTGCCTAGAGTCTTTTGTTTAGCTTAATGTTTGCTTTTGAAATTTATTCATATCCCTTCATGCAATCATTAGTGTTTTGTTGTCTAACATTCCGATGTGTGACTATGCCACAATTTTTTATCCTTTAAAATAATAATAGAAAATGAACTGTTTAAAAGTTTTTGTTGCTATATACTGTATGAATAGGCTGCAATGGATATTTTTGTACAAGTTTTTGTGGACTTATTTTATTTAGTAAGTACCTAAAGGTACAATTATTGAGTCAGAGTAGTAGTTGTGTATTTAAGTTCATAATAAATTATAAACCACTCTCTGAAATAATTAGACCATTTATATTCCTATCAGCAATGTATGAGTTTTGGTTGCCCTAGAGCCCTGCTAATATTAGGATTATTATTTTGTTTTTATATTAATTTAATCATTCCAGTAGGTACAAAATAGTATCTCATTGAAATTTTAGTTTGTACTTTCTTGACAACTAATATAGTAAGCACTTTCTCCTTTGTTTATTGGCTATTTATACTTTTTTTCAAAATATCTGTATTTCTATATTTCCATATAGAATTGTTTTTATTTTTATTATTCATGTGTAGGTAGGCCCTATACATTCTGGATATAAATCCTTTACCATATAAAGGCCACAAATATTTTTACCAACCTGTGTTTTGCTTTTTTTTTTTTTTTTTTTTTTTTTTTTTTTTTGTATCAGGGATTGAACTCAGATCCTTGAGCTTGCAAAGCAGTGGCCGGAACCACTGAGCTAAATCCCCGGCTTGCCTAATTTTTTTCTAATGACTTTTGATGAGAAAATTTAGTTTTGATATGTTCAACTATAATTTTTGCTTTTATAGTTGTTGTTTTTAACATTGTATTCAATAAATCTCTACTTTCTCAAAGTTTTCTTCTAAATGCATTATGATACTGAATTACACATTAAAGTCTGTAACCCACCTTGAATTAACATTTAAGTATGGAGTAGAGATTAAATAGTGTTTTATTTCCACATACATAAGGATGGTAATAATTAATTGCTGGACTTAAAAGTTTTTGTTTTTCAGTACTACATACAAGGTATATTACATTGTGCTCAAATTCCCTGAGATAGCAATTTAGATAATTTTTGAGTCCAGCTTGCTTGTATTAGTAAAATCTTTTGGCAAAATATTTTAGCAAAGCCATTTCTGGCTTTCCTCTGTACCAGGTGACAGCAAACCTATCTGATAACTCACAGAAAGAAATATGTTCATGTTTGTCATCCCATGTAGCTAACTTGTCTCTAAATAAATAGATCATGTCTTTCAGGCATAAGATCAACTCAAATAAGTGAATTTAATGATGGAAATTTCAAACACTGATGAAAAGAACAAGTTTGGAGTCAATGAGCTCTTTGGTTACCCTCAAAAATCATCTTTCCTTCTTTCTTTCCCTCCCTTCCTCCCTCCTTCCTCCTTTCTACTTTCTTCTCTTTTTTTCTTTCCTCCCTTTTTTCTTTTTGGTAGTCCATTATTTGACCTTGCCTCAGTCTAGTTCTCATGTTATAATATAAAATTACCTTTACTTTTGTCCACACATTCATGATAAAGCGTGTTTTTCCCGATTTGATCTGGATACTAGTTTGATTACATATTATGTCGCCTACAGTCACTTAATTACAGGCCACAACACTGAACAATGAAATATCTATTACTTTGGCAGAGTTTATAAAGTTAGAAAATTCAAGGACTGTTAATTATTTCCTGATTGCTTATTATGTGGTAAATGTGAATACATAGAAAGTCAATCTGTATAATTTTATACCTGTGCCAAAAAAAGAATTTCCAAATTTAGTCCACTTCAAAAAATCTGCATAATGGGAGAGTTTTTTTCTAAAATGTTGCATTTATTATAAATAAAATCTGCATTTGTCACATTGCTTATAACCCTTGATAAATTTGAGTGCTGAGTAAAAGTTACCAAAATTAACAATTTAATGCAAATTTTGGTCTTCAATATATCTTAGTGCTAACATGTACTTTCCACGTGCATTACAATTAATGCTGTCTCAGCCCTATACCCTTTGCTTTCATAAATTGTCAGCAGTCACTACAGGAAACTGAGGCTTAGTGAGATTAAATCACAAGACCAGATAAGTAAGAAAGGATGGGACCAGAAACCAATCCATCAGCTACCTAAGTTTGTCATCGTAATTACTGTGTGTTTCACAATAATGTAAGAAAATATTGCAAATAATTTGATAACATAAGAATAGGAAATGCACTTATTTTTTGGCCCATAGGAGATTATGGGACTGTTTCTGGACGCACATTCTTTCTCTGTCATTTCTCAAAATAAACAAGTTTTATGGATGTCATTGCAATGTTCCTCAAAGTGCCCATTGCCTCAAAGATCAGCTTACTTTGGGTTAAGACAATAAAGGTACAAGAAAGATTGTGGTTTTATATGGCAAAGCAGAACAGCTCAGTGTTTTAGCCAAGTGTAGAAAACCCTTGTATTAGCTGACTGACTCAAAGGAGTTTGCCCACTCCGAATTCTGAGAAATGAGATATAATGACAGTTCCTTTACATACAGTTGGGAAAAGGAAGCTGAAAGAAACCTTTTAGAGCTGAGACATAGCTAGAAGTAGGTAACTAAGGTAAAACATCAGGTACTAATAGTTACATTGTTTGCAAAGAACACTTCTGATACATCGAGCAGGTACATACTGCAGCACAGAGAGTCACAGAACATTTTGATACATTGGAAGGGAAGCATCCTACAGATACATTTCTGGGACAGAGCATCTTATTTTAAAAACTGCAGGCAAGGGAAAGGCCTGTTCTATTGTGCATTATTGCTTCATTGTCTAAAGAATAAGAAGACTGGAATTAAGGAAAATTAACCACCTCTCGTCCCACAGCCCTCTCAGCTGCCTGATGTTTAATTTTCTTAACAACAGTGTAAAAAGCCCCACCTGCCTTGGAAAATACAGAATGAAATTCAGCTGAAGTCAGGCCATATGCGGCAACTATAAACACTGAACAATAGAAAAATATTACCAATAAGGCTGAAACAAGGATACTTTTTCTTCCTGAGCACTGATCCATGTGAGCCACATAAGTTGATGCTAAAGGTCAGTAAGCTAAACATTATAAAACATATATACATATGTGGAACTTGCGTATTGCCAAAGTAATTTTTCCACTTGACTTTTAATAAAAACATTTTCTCATAGTTATTTCTATGCATTTTCTTAAAACATGATTTTCTGAGTTAATAACCAAAAGTTACATTTTGTTTATCCTTCATGTTTTAGGGAAAGCCTATTTAAAAACCTGCTTGGCTTATAATTTTTTATCGTTACATTTATTTATTCTGATGTTGACGCAGCATAGGTTTTCTTACTTGAGGTGATACATGTTAGTAAAGATCTTTGCGGGTTTTTTTTCTTTTCTCCCATTGTTTTGGGATGGGGAAAATTACTTGTAATTCCTTTGAGCAACCTTTTAGAAATTATCCTATTTTTAAGAAAAGCATATTCATGGAGCTACATAGTGGATTCTTTAATATGGGCATCTTTCATGCAAGTCATGTCCTAATTGGATACTTGCTGAATGGCTCTATTGGTTGAAATCTCTTTACTTTGAATTATATAAAACACAAGGAAAAAATTCTTGTGTATTCCAACAATGAATTTCTTTATATTGTATACATTAAATGTACCAATAAAAATAATTTTATTCTGTGTGTGTGTGTGTGTGTGTGTGTGTACCAGGGATCAAACACGGGTCCTTGCGCTTGTGAGGCAGGTGGCAGCACCACTGAGCTAAACCCTGGGCCCCAATAAAAGTAATTTTTAAAAAAACTGGAATAAAGAAAATCAATGTAATTGGTATAGGAAAAGACTTTATGAACAAATCCTCAGTAGCACGGGAACTAGCAGAAAGAATCAACAACTGGGATCTCATCTTACTAAAAAGCTTCTGTACTTCAAAAGAAACCATTAGCAGAACTAAGAGACAATCTACAATGTGGGAAAAAATTTTTACCAGCTGTACATCAGACAAAGGACTATTATCAAGGATATATAAAGAACTCAAAACAATCAGTCCCCCCAAATATAAAGACCCGATTCAAAAATGGGCATCCGAAATGAACAGACATTTCTCAAAGAAGTAA